TAGTTGTATATATAATTTCCCAGTCCTTTGCTGAAAGACTTACTCCTGTCTCTTTTCCCCAGATGTTTGCAACTGCAGCAGTTTTGATAGGTATTTGTGAAATAGGTAAAGTCCTTCACATTGGGATGAAGCATCTGCCATGTGTTGTCAATAGTCATTTTTTAATGTGTTTTTTATTTGTCGTAATGCCCTTGAAGGAACAGAGGAGGTCCTGGTCGAGGAGAGAGGTATGTTCATGTCATCCCCTAAAATGGTCAAACTGAATTTGCAGGTCACATACCTTTTTTTCATTAGGACAGTATACTGCATGTTGGCTAATGTAATCAGTCTTTTCTTTAATGTGTCTTTGAGAAAAAGGAAATGTGACCCGAGGACCAGTCAGTTGACCAAGAAGCTTAAACTCAAAGGCAGTATAGTAACACCTTTTGTTTTAGAGAATGGTACATTGTAGACAACCTGTGGTTGGTGAGTTTATGCACAAAGAAGTGTCGAAAGTGTGTCCCCTGTAGAAAAGCAAAATCTGCTTGACATTTGTGAAGTTCCTGTATGATCATCTATGTCCTTTCAGGAATATTGAGCCCTTTCACATTAAGTGAAAGAAGTTTCAGTGACTTCGATCTTGGTAGATGTGTCTGTAAGGCCATTTGTGTTACTGGGCAAACCGTTGTAGTAGATTGCAAAATGAAACTCAGTGAAAGGTCTTAGGATGGGCTCCATATACCACCAGTTAGTAATCCATATTGCAAGGGGAGTGAAATCTAAAGGCAGTCTAAGTAAGGGAGAATCACAGGGGACAGGGAACTACACAGAAAAAAAGGGGAGGTGGTATAAATGGGGTAAAACAAATGTAGGGGAGACAAAAAGAGGAAAGAGTAGAGGAGAGCAAAAAAGACCAAAAAGACATTAAATATAGTAGCAAGAGGGAGAGGAGTAAAGAGGCAATAAGCAGGATATGTTTGTGGTGGGTGATGTTTATCTCTCAGCCACAAAGATAACTAAAAAAGGGTTGTCTGCACGGCAAAGTGCCTGGCTTTGTGGGGTGAATGGGATAAGACTCTTGGATAAGGGGGGCTGCTGTATAAAGGGATAGAAATAAGAGTCAAAACAGGCTTCACTATCATCATTAAAGGGAACATGCTACGGCAAGTTTCCACAGTAAAATTAACTAAGACCTCTGAAGAGTACTACACAATTGTTAACTGATTGTCAGTCATACATATTTATTTTTAAGCTGTACTAATATGTATGCACACATTAGTTTTTGGTTGGGCTGCTCATAAAAAAGTTATCTCAAAATAGAATATAAACAGTAAAGAAAAAAACATAATTCAACCTTTGAACAAAAAGACAAACTAATCAGCTATTTCTGGAAAAATTCATAACAGTTACTACAGTTAGTCTAAGCCTGGTCGATGTGCAATAACATTATCTTTTCTTCCTTCTTTTTTTTTTTTTTAATGAGGTGGAGATTGAAGAGCCTGGGAAAATCTTGAAACAGTTGAAGCAGTGGGAGGGACCAGGTAGAATATATTGACATTTTCATTGAACAAACTAGAAGCTTTCATTAATGGAAACACTACTCTGTAGACATTGTATTGGTCTTCATCTCTACAGTTTGAAAGGCAATTTGTTTTTCAGCGTAAATGTGAGAATATGTTTTTAGTTACATTTGTCTTAGATGAGAAGTCCACCAATTAAATGAAAAAGGTGATGGCGGCAAAATGTAAAGTTATAGCTAGCTAACAAATGTGCCCTAATAATTTGGCATTATGACTCTTTTAGTTTCCTCCACTGGTGCTGCCACTCTACCTGTCAATGTAAGGCTCTCTAGTGAAGTCAATGAAGCCTTACTTAAAATATACTGTACTAAAACCCAATCAATAAAATCTCATGTAGGCTTTAATAAGTTCATGTCATTTCAAAAGTAATCTGCAGCTGTCATTAAAGGAATACCTGGTGATCCTGCCATGAATGTCCCTGTTCTGGTACTTCCTACTTTAAAGTGGCAAGCCCTCTCACTGTTTGTCAACTGTGTCCCAGCATTGTCACCCACACCAGACACGCTTCTGAAGGAGATGTCAGCTTAACATTTCAACACCCATTGTGAAAGCATATTTCTTTGTTATCACTGACAGAAAACCTGCACAGAGAAATGCCACGCAACCATCTCCAGAAATCAGGAACGTAGACCGGAAATAATAGTGAAGAGGCTGCTGGGGGATTAGCAGCACCAAGGCACAAGAAATGGGAACAAATGTGAAACCAGACATTAGATAAAAATAAAATAGAAGTTGCTTATGATAATTAGTGCTCTATCAAATTAAATATCATTCAGTAAGGGTTTACATCTACTTTAATTCTTATATTTCTAGACCCTATGGGGTTGATTTACTAAATGCTTGCACTTGGAAGTGCACTGCATTGCAGTTGCTCTAGATCTGAGGGTAACGTGCAAGGAAAATAAAAGAACAGCATTTCTGCCTGCACATGATTGGATGAAAGAAATCAGCAGAGCGTTGCTTCATTTTAGAGCTTCCCCTTGGATATAAAGCAACTGCACTTTTGGTGCACTTGCAGTGCACAGTATATTTTTCTTTAGTAAATCATGCTATAGGATCATGATGATGTCATTACTCACTGACACATTGCACATGTGATGGATGGCAGGCCAGCTTGGTCACACTCACACAGACATGAGACATCAGAGTTAGACACAACCTTCCTCCGCAGGCGCAGCTCTGCCTCTGCTGATGAATGGGAAGAGAAGGGCTTGAACTCCACAGTGATCAGCAGCTGATCACTGAGTCTGAGAGAAACTCTGGAAGGAGTGGCAGCTCCTGAGAAGAGGAGATTAAGGGGGGATATGATCAACATGTATAAATAGATCAGTGGTTCATATAGTGAACTCTGTGTAGAGCTATTCACCCTAAAGTCATCACAGAGGACAAGGGGGCACTCTTTACGTCTGGAGGAAAAGAAATTTATTCTACAAAAACCCAGCAAAATTTATTTGCTCTGCTAAAGAAAACTGATCCCCGAGAGGCAATCGGAATTCCCTGGATCAACTTTTCTTACAGTTGTATCCAGTTATATTCTGTGTATCTAAGAAAAATGCCTTCTTTGAAGAACAACCAACTCCCTCAAGAGTTGGTTCTGGCCAGCTCAGTGGATTGCTTCAAAGAAGGCCTGGATTCTTTCTTAGATACACAGAATATAACTGGATACTAACAATTATAAGTAAAGTTGATCCAGGGAATATCCGATTGCCTCTCGGGGAACAGGAAGGATTTTCTTTCCCAGCAGGAGCAAATTGGATCATGCTTTGCTGGGTTTTTTTGCCTTCCTCAACTGTGGGTATAGGATTATAACTTTTTTTTTTTTTATGGTTGAATTGGATGGACGTTTGTCCTTTTTCAGCCAGACTAATTATGTAACTATGTAACTATGTAGCTCAGCTGCTACACTGGCCCCAGACACCCGGATCCTTTCTCTGTCTTCTCTGTTCTCTCCTCCTCTCTGCCTCCCCTCCCCTCAGCTGGAGGATCATTCATGATGTGGCGGTGTCCCAAACAGACAGAGTGCCAGCCTGTGCTGTGCCCAGGTGCCCCTAGGTGGCAATGCGCCTTCAGCGGTCGCCTAGTTTTCCTAGTAGAAGCACCTGCCCTGATTATGGGGTTGATTTACTAAAGGTATTTAAGTTGTTTACTTTGCAAGGTGAATTTTTCCTTAGTTTAGTAAATGAGGTTAAACTCTGCTGACTTCCATCATCTAATCGTATGCAAGCAAAAATGCTATTTTTTTTTTTCTTGCACATAATTGGGTATTCATTGCAAAGTGAATTTTTACCACACTCACTAAGGTAAGGGCAGATTCCCTTGCAAAATGATGCATATATTTGCCTAGTAAATCAAGCTTGTTATGTAGAAACAGGCTCATCTGATCCAGGAAGCAGCCAGACCCCACATGCTTTTCTAAATTACAGGAAAAGAGAGTTATTTTTTTTAATCATCCAGTAAGTAAGAAAATGTACCCAAATGAGGTTAACTACAACCCATCAACATTTCTTTGAACATGTTATATGAAATCCTTATTACGCATGAAACACAAACACAAAGGATTATTTATCTTTTTAGTAATTACTTGCATTACAAACATTCACACCTGTTCAAATGTATCTGATCTACAAACCGATTGTTTAAAGGTGTGCAGAAGGAACCTAGAAACATAAAAGAGTGACGGCAGAAAAAAAATTCAAGGTGGTTCATCAAGTCTGCCCTAGTTTTAAAATTTTATTTATGTTTTTTTTTTTTTCTTAAAGTAGTTGTAAACCCATACATATACTACATATACTCAGTGAAGCAACTGGCCTCAGGTGGTACGCAGAGATGAAACAAATCTTCCTACATAAGTTGTACCTGTATATATGCAGGCTGCTCTGCTCTACATCTGTTCAACGTGCAGAATTTACAGTATAGGGCTTGGGGTGGAAAGATGAAATTACACACTGCAGAGCTCAATGAGGAGAGCTTTGAGAGCTGATTGGAGGGAAGAGACACACACCCCTTCACAAAGCACATCAGAACAGAGCTGAGGCTTTCAATCACATGCTGTGTTCTAGAGGTCCCTCACTTGTCACCTATTTTCTTGGTGTCAGGAAAAGTTGTGAGAATTGATTCATGCTGATACCAGAGGAACGAAGCAGCAGACAGAAATGACAGTTAGTACACACTATAAAGGGATATGTTTTGTTCATATTTCATGTCTGGTGTTTACAACCACTTTACCTTATTCATCTAAGTATTGATCCATGTTTATTCCAAGTATGTTTGAATCTTATACTGTTGACTGACTCACTACCTCACCAACTACTCTTTAGAAACACCCATGTGGCCATATTAAGAGTACATAAAACCATCAACATTATTATATATAACATTTTCCTTAGCATTGTATCATAACTGAAGGACGTACTTTCATAGAATGGTGGCCATAGAATATTAAAGTATTACTAAACCCAGGACCCTGCATTTACTGTATCTGGTCTCCCACAGTACACAGAACATAGAAGTGCAATTATTTTAGTAAATATAAACTGCTAAATACCTTTTCTCATCAGCAGTTAGAGCAGTCTTGTGACTTTTATCAGTGTCCAACAGAGCACTGGCTAAAGCCTGTAGGAGGAGTTTTCTTTTTCCCTATGAGGCTGCAGGACCCCTGACCCTCTATCTGGACAGTGCTGATTGGTCCTGTGCTGATCACATGCACTTTCACAAGAAAAAAAACCTCTCTAGCCATACACACCAAAGTTAGCATGTTCAGCTTGCCTCCAAGCCTCTGTAATAATCCGGAGAAATATTGGGAACAGGAGAATAAGGGGAGGATCAGAGAAGACAGGATAAAACATAATTTCGCACAGTGTGGAGGATACCCCTTAGGTTCCACAGTGAGTATAGCAAGCATGCTTTACTGCATATACAGGCTGATTTTACTGTTGTGGGTTTAGTAACATTTTAAAGTAAAGAATGCTTTGTTGGAAACCTTTAGCCATTTCTCCACTGTTCTACTCTGAATAGTCACTGAGCTCTACAGAAAACGTTGATATGATCTACCTCTTGAGTGTGTTATGATGTATTTTCATAGGATGGTTGCCATAGAATACTAGAGTGCAGAATGCTTTGTTGGAAGTCTTTAGCCATTTCTCTGCTGTTCTACCCTGACACTATTGTGACACTGAGCGCTACAGAAAATTTTGATATGATCTACCTCTTGAGTGTGTTATATTGTTATAATCAACTAGAACTCCAATTAAACAGATCATGTGAAATGCCCAGTTACAGTTTTGGCATTCCCAGCTCCTGAGGATCGAGCCAAAGCTTATGCTTTTGACTGGGAAAAAAGTGATGGAACTAGAAATAGAGGTTCCCTTGTGATCCCTGATTTGGGGAGCTGTCCCTAGAGACTTGTAAGTAACATAAAGTGGTATAGGCAACTATGTTTCAATGTGTGATGGGTGGAAAGAAGCTAGATCACCTGCAAAAAATTACACCTTTCAATACTGGGCACTTTTACTCCCTTCCTGCCCAGCCCAATTTTCAGCTTTCAGCACTGTTGCACTTCGAATGTCAATGACATGGTCATGCAATACTATACTCAAACTCAATTTTTATCATTTTCTTCTCAAAATAGAGCTTTCATATGGTGGTATTTAATCACAGCTAGGCTTTTTATTTTTTGCTAAATAGACAAAAAAAGACCAACAATTTTAAAATAAATCCATTTTTCTGCTTTTCTGTTATAACATTTTGCAAATAAATAATTGTTCTTCATAAATTTAGACCAAAATGTGTTCTGCCACATTTCATTGGTGAAAATAATCCAAATCAGTGTATATTATTTAGTCTGTAGGAAAGTTATAGAGTCCACAAACTATGGTGTATAAAAAACATATATATATATATATAAACAGATATCTCCCAAAAGTCCCCTTTTCAGAAAGTAGACAGTCCAAGGTATTTAGTAAGAGGCATGGGAAGTTTTTTTAAAGTTGTAAATGTAAATGAAGAAATTAAATGTAAAACTTTTTTCTAATATACTGTCAACAGTGCAGTACAGCGATATCATATAACTGGTGTGATGGTGATCAGGGACACTGACTGTTTTTCAGTTTTTTTTCTTTTTTGTTACTTTTTTTTAATGATTTTTTTTAACACATTGTGACCAGAGCAATACAATGTTACCATAGTAAGTGATCAGTGAGGAAGTGATCAGGGTTTTGTTTACACATTATGATTGCTTATAACACTGCTATAAGCAAGCATTTTAGTGAATGAAGTTGATTCATTTAATGTGTTTTGTGTTGTGATTGGTCACAGCAAATCACATGGTACAGATGGGCTCTGATTGGCCCTGTCTATACCATGTGATCACTGTGACCATTCACAGCTAGCAACACAATTGTACACAGTGAATGGTATGATTCAAAACTATTAACAATTGTCATATGATCTGCTGTGATTGGTCACAGCGATCACATGGTACCGGCAGCAGGCCAGTACAGTGATCTGTCATTGGCTGTGTCTGGTGAACACAGCCGGTGACAGATCGCAGCCACAGCACGGTTCCATTCCGGATGGATATCATATGAAAAAACAATGGTTAAATGAATGGCCAGCCCATGGCCTTTTTAATGTTCATGATCAATGTGATATTATTATTATTATTATACAGTATTTATACAGTATTTATTATACAGTATTTGGTGATATAGCCAAGATCATGAATATATCTTGTTTTGGGCAAGCTGACAACTAATATTATAAACATCGAATATGACAGCACACTTCCTTGTTAGTTTTAACTAACAAGCAAGAAAATCCATTTTGTAGTAATAAAGTCCAGAAGAACCAGTACCAGCCATTTTTTAGCATGGTGCTCAATTTATGAATGATCTTCTGGATCAGGCTCTTGTGGATTTAGAGGACATCAAAAGTAAGTTGAATTTTTTTTGTTTTAATTTTGGTAACATTGCTTACTTTTTTGTTTATGTTTCATTGATCCCACTACCAAATACAAGATACAACAGCTGTCCATGTAGATTACTTTTTACACAATGCATGAATTGCACCTTGTATAGGATAAAAATGTAATCAGCACAGAACTTTGATTTTTAACAGGGTAGGTAATTTATCAAAGTTTTCACAGTTCTCTCAAGATGAGCTGATGCCACCTTGTGCTGCCTAATGAAGGTCACACCACATATTGTGGATGTACAGTAAATATTCAATGAAAAATTTTTTTTAAAGAAAAGGTCATTTTGTACACAGTCCAATTCTCCTTGTGCACGAGAAGTAGGGTCAAAGTTCTTTTGGTCTTGATTCACCTGTGGGTTACAAGAGTGCACTTAGTTCTGCACTTTTGTGACCCATATTTCAGCCAATAGAGGGCTAAAGTCCAGTGTCAGCTGACATCACTCAGCCAGTCCAGACTAAAAAGAGATCCTGATTTTAATGTCGGGATCCACCAATATGCCTGGGCTGGAACCTGACTCAGCTTCTCAGTGATGTGCACTGCTCTATGCACAATACATATCCCACAGTCATTAGTCCATAGTCCATCTCGGTAGTGAAAAAGAGAGTGTAGCTACACTCCTACTTACAGTGAGACCATGGAGAATGAATGTAGCTACCCAATAACATTAAGTTGGATCACTGCAGAGAAATAAAAAAGGAATTTGGAGATTTGAGGAAGGCTGAGAGCAATAGAAGGCACTTTTAGAGTTAAGAATGAACATTTGAATAGTATACATTTTTTTTAAACCAAAGTTTAGTGTAACAGAAAGGCTTCATTCACTTCTCTGTGATTTGTATGCAGTTGCTGTGCAGGGCATTTTAGATGTTCATTATCTCCAAAGAAAATATACCCCAAACCATACCAAATGCAGTGGTGTGACTGTAGCTTAAATCTTTTGTGTTGTACTACATGTTAATTCACATATACCGGTGTATACTGTATGTCACCGAGATTATAGATATTATCATTGGATAGCAGATACAAGTTACAGGAATTTCCAGCTCTTCACTTAGTTGTTATCAGTTTTTTAGCTACATGTCACAATGTGTCACTGAAGAGTTAAGCGGGCAGGTCCTGCACCTGTTAAATGTGAGCATACAGGGTGTGTTTACTCAGGTACGGGGCAGCACTATATAAACTAAACTAAGATGATTCCTCTAGACAGAAGAGAGAAAGAGAATAAGAAACAAGAAAGAAAAGGACAGAAGGTGAATACAGGGAGACTTCAGCAAGAAGAAAGAGGGTGAAACAGAAAAGAAAGGATAGAGGTAAAGACATCTATAGAAAGGAAATTAGTTAAAAGCAGACAAAAAACATAGAAACAGTAAAATAACTAGAAAAGGTTATAAGAAAAAAAATAGAAAAAAGAAAAAAAAGCAAAGAAATTGAAAGTCTTAAAGATAGCGAATAGGAAGAAAAAAAACAAAGAAAGAAGTTGGAAGATGCAAGGTATTTAAACAGGCAAGCGAAGAGAGGAGGAAGAAATAGGAGAGACATCCTTTGCACCAGGGACACGTGTCTCTTCCAGGATTTAAAGCATCGTCAGCGAGAGACAGAGGGAGGAGAGAGGGCCTTAAAGAAAAAGAGGAGGGAAAGAGAGAGAAGGGAATAGGCACTGGGAGAGAGAACGTGAAACAGAAGTGAAAGAGAGTTGTCTGGGACTTGATACAAATGACACTGTGATATCCCAAGGTGGCACTTCATTTTCTGGACAGGTAATGTTCTACATTTTAAACTTAAAAAAATAGAAAAAAGAACAGTGCCTCAATTTACGCATTAGAACTTCAATTAGATAAGATACAATGTTTTTTAAATATTTTATATTTTTCTTAATATCTTTGGCAGTCACTTTCACTGGCAAAATTTTTCCATATTGCAGATTTTTTGAGTCTTTTTGATGTTTTATTTTTCTGCATTCTAAGCAAAATACTAACTGGAATGCGATCAGGTATAAACAGTGCCACTATATTTGGGGTTTGTAGCATACTGTTACTTAGTTTTCAGTTTGGTACCCAAAGATTCTATATCCTGTCAATCAACTGTTCACATACACTTACTCTTAAGATACTCCAGCATATATGTCTATTACCTCAAACAAAAGCAGTGAAGCATTTCTGAACACCACATGGAAATCTCTTCTGTTTTTAAGTGGTAAGAATGAGCCATATTGGGAGAATTGGGATGACACAAACAGGTGACACTCTATGGATCATATGTCACTGTTTGGATCCCGTGATATTTTCCCTCTTTTTATAGAATGATCTGTTTCAAATACCTTAAAATTCTAAAATTTTTATAATGGACTTGTTTGGAAAGCAGGCAGCTAAAGGGCATAGTCTTGTATATTATTATTTTGTAGCTTTAAAATTTAGCATTTTGTGTCCAGAATGTATTGGCAATGGTTTTGTATGTGAATACATGTGTGTTTTCTAGCTACATCTCTTATGTACAATATGATGTAAATAAATGACAT